ACCCAATTGCCCATTAACTGGAGACTAGATAAAGAATGTGTTTTTCCTTTTCTCTTTTACTTTCCTATTTAGTTTTATTTTAGGGTTCCCTATTTTTAATGTTCATATAGAGATTTCTTTAACTGAAATACCAAATAGTTTCTCTGGTGTGAAAAACTATAATAATACACAGGATCCTAATGAGATAATTAATAATGTGAAATAGGAAGTAAAGGGCTAAAGGTGTAGGGAAAGTGGGAAGGGTGGGGGAAAAGTAATAAGGGAGAGGAAAAAAATATGAGAAACTGAAAAAATGAAAATAAAGTGCTTGTAAATGGGGAGGGGGGGTGAAGGGAGGGCAGGGACAAGGGGAAAAAATGAGAATCAAGACCTATTATGTGAAGGTACAGAATCCCAATGATGAATGTAACTGTACTGTATACCTAGATTGTACCAATAAACTCAATTAAAAAAAAAGAATGTTTTTTTTAATAAAATGGAGTACTACTCAGCCATAAAGAATGAGAAACTAGAGACATTTATAGCTAAGTGGATACACATTGAGGCCATACTCTTAAGCAAAATACATAGGACACACCTGAGTAAATATAGAATAGTTTCTCTGGTGTGAAAAACTAAAAGTGTAGGATCAAAATGTATAATTGATAATGTGAAATAGGAAGAAAATGTCTAAAGGAGTAGGGGAAGTGGGAGGGGTAGGGGAAAGGAAAGAAGGGAAAAGAAAAATATGAGAAATGGAAAAACATGGAAACAAAATCTTTGAAAATAGTGAAGGGTGGAGGGGGTGAAGGGAGAGCAGGGGAATGGGGAAAAAACAAGAACCAAGATCTGTCATGTAAAGGTACAAGACCTTAATGATGAATATAACTGTATTGTATGCCTAAAATGTACCAACAAACTTAATGGAAAAAAAAAAAAGCTGAGAACAAAGGCTGATGGGTATCTATCTTCCAGGGCCCCCTGCCCTCCATCTCACACAGGGCAGCTTTCTGTCTTCTTTTTTTTTCCTTCTTACAAATAAAGTGCCCTCCCTCCCAAAATTCATTACTGGTGGCTGAGTCTCCGCCAGAACATAAACACACCTGAAAGCAGTCCAGAGAATCTGCTGATGGATTTAAAATGTTAGTAAAATCGTTAAATAGCAGGTTGGCATGCAGTGTTCTACCAAGATTAGCTAGAAACCACTGATTTTTAAAAAATTATTTCAAAACCACTGATTTTTAAAATTTATTTTGAGATAAATTTTGCTAAATTTAAACTGCCCAGGGCCAGGGATTTGGCTCAGTGGTTCTACCGCCTGCCTCCCAAGCACAAGGGCCCAAGCAAATTCAATCCTCGGTACCAAAATAATTAACAAATAAATAAATAATGCCCAAGCTGGGCTTGAATTTGTGATTTTCCAGCCTCAGCTTCCCAGAGTGCTGGGATTACAATTATGTCCCACCACATCTGGTTAAGATTTTATTTTAAAGGTCCACAATTGATTCTTATTCAGCAGGTTGTAACTAACTATAGAAAAGAGTAAGCCGCCGTGGTGGCGCATGCCTGTAATTCCAGCACTCAGGAGGCTGAGGCACGAGGATCGCTGTGAGTTCGAGACCAGCCTGGGCTACATAGTGAGTTCCAGGTCAGTCTCAATTACATAGTGATACCCTGTCTCAAAAACAAAAACAAAACAAAGCAAAAACGACAAGGCTGGGCGAGGTGGCCTGCATCCTGGCAAGCCGGGTAGCAACAGGCCCCTCGGGGTGAGAATTTCCAAAGGTGCGTTTGCACCACCCGTGTGGGCACACCTGGCTCTCTACCGAGCACCAGCACCGTCCTGCTGGGGAACCAACCCTCTCCGCTCAGCTCAACTGCGGCGGGTAAACCCGCCCCCCAGCCCGTCTCTCCTCGCCCAGCAAGCCCGCTCCTTCGCTTACCTCTCTCCCTCGCCACACTCCACTGTCCAATTTCCTCGGACCCCAAACCCCTCTCGCTGCTGAGTCCCCAGAGCTGTTCCTCCTCAGTCCGGCTCTTCACCGAGACCACCTCCGGAGCCCCCCACACCCCTCCCGTCTCGCGCCTCAGGCCTTTATGCTTCCCCAAGCCCTCGTCCTCCCACACTCATCTCACCTGCACTTTCCGCCTCTTCAGCGCCGCCGCGTCCAGCCACACGCCGCACGCGTCCTCCTCCGGGCCTCTCCGCTTCATGGGCGCAGAGACAGAATCTTCAGGTCTCTCGGGCTCCGGACGTTACAGCCACCTCTGCCGCCTTTCGGATCGCGCGCCAACGCAGGGGGGCGGAGCCACGCCCGGCCGTCGACGCAGGCCCCGCCCCCTGGAAATCCCTCCCTTATCGAAGCCCCGCCCGATGCCTTTCTGACCCGCGGCGGGTCCGCCCGGGTTCCGGGAAAGCTGTCGTGGGGATGAATGAGTTCTCGGGGTCGTGCCAGCAATGCGCATTTTTTTTCTGAACTGCACTATTTTACTGTAAATATAAAATCCCCAGGTGTAAGGTATGCCTGTGACACCGCTGAATCCTCGCCATCACCCAGAGGAAGCAGTGGACCGAGGTTGAGGTCCCCGACTCCAAGCTGGGGTCCTCAACACTACTCGAGTTTGTGAACTACTTTCTTTTTTTTATTGTTTTAATTTAAATTGAGTTTATTGGTACATTCTAGGTAGACAGTACAGTTACATTCATTACTGGAATCTTGTACCTTTGCATGACAGGCCTTGCTTCTCATTTTTTCCCCTTGTCCCCACCCTTCCTTCACCCCCTCCTCCCCTCCCCACCTACAAACACTTCAATTCCATTTTTACATTTTCTCATATTTTTTTCCCTTTCCCTTATTCCCCTTCCCCCACCCTTTTCTCTGTCCCTACTCCTTTAGTCCTTTTCTTCCTATTTCACATTGCTAATTAACCCATTAGGATCTTGAGTACTATTTTAGTTTTTCACACCAGAGAAACTATTCAGTATTTACACATGTGTGACTTATTTATTTCACTTAGGAGTATATCCTCAAAATGTACCCATTTACCTATGAATGAATCTACTTTCTCATTCTTTATGGCTGAGTAGTGCTCCATTTTATAGAAAAACCACATTTTCTTCATCCAGTTTCCAACTGATGGGGAGATGGGCTATTTCCAAGTTTTAGCTGTTACAGACTGTGCCGCTATAAACATGGGTGTGCATACATCACTGTGATATGATTCTTTTAATTATTTTGGAAAGATACCCAGCAGAGGGATGGCTGGGTCAAGTGGAACCTCTAGTCCCAGCTCTTTGAGGTGTTTCCATATTGATTTCCACAGTGGCTGTACCAGTCTGCACTCCCACCAACAATGGAGGTGTCCTTTCTCCCCACAACCCCGCCAACATTTGTTATTGTTTGATTTCTGGATTGCAGCCATTCTTTGTGGGGTGAGGTGGAATCTCAGTGTTGTTTTCATCTGCATCTCTCAAATGACCAGTGATGTGAAACACTTTTTCATATATTTACTTGCTGCTTTTATTTCTTTGTCTGAGAAATGTCTGTTCATTTCAGACGCCCATTTTTTAATTGGGTATTTATATTTGGGGGGGCTGGTTGTTTTGAGTTCTTTATGTGAATGACTTTTGTAATTAAAACAATAATCTAAGAACACGAAGCCATATGAAAGACGAATCCCAGGCCCCGATTTTGAAAACATGAAGTGAGAACTTGGCGTCAAGAACCAGATTTTCAGGGCGTGGATGTAGCTCGGTGGCGCAGTGCCTGCCTTGCAAGCACAAGGTCCTGAGTTCAATTTCCGGTACCAGAATCAGATTTTCGCCGGATGTGATGGCGCACACCTGTCGTCCCAGCTAGTTGGGAGGCTGAGACATGAGAATTTCTGAACCCAGGAGTTCCTGACAGCGTGGGCAACAGAGAGATTGTGACTTAAACAAACTAGCTTTCAGTCCTGCTTACTGTGCAACCTTGAATTTTAAAGTTATGTGAGGTAACATTTGTCAAAGTACTTTGTAAATTCTGGAAGCCCCTTGGAAATGCAAAATGCTGGACTTCCAAGCTTGAAGTCCACCTCCAGATAGGCACGCGCGCGCGCGCGCGCGCGCGCGCGTGTGTGTGTGTGTGTGTGTGTGTGTGTGTGTGTATTTGCTGAACCCAAGGCCTTGGGCTTGCTAGGCAAGCACTGTACCCCTAAGCTAGATCCCTAGTTCGTGTATTTGATATATTGTATTTTTGTTTTGTTTTGTTTTTTGTTTTTTGAGACAGGGTCTCACTGTATAGTTGAGAGTGACCTGGAACTCACTATGTAGCCCAGGATGGTCTCGAACTAACAGCGATCCTCCTGCCTCAGCCTCCCAAGTGCTGGGATTACAGGGGTGCACCACCACACCCGGCCTATTCTATGTTTTAATATA